TTTCCAAAAGTGCTCAGTGGCACTGGAACTACTTTGGGTTGGGGTGCTGAGCTTTGCCCCCCCGCCCCAAACTGAGATCAGGTTGCCAGCTCTCCTGGCCTGGACTCTATTGCTGCAAATGGCAACCCTCACTGCCCTAGGCTGGGGCCAGCTGCAGAGCCCGGGACCAGTTGGCAAGGCCACGGAGCCCATGGCAGTACCAGTGAGCAGCAGGAAGGCCAGCAAAGCCCACAGAGGGGCTGGTAGGACCCCATGGGGGCTGCCCGAGGTCTGGACCTGGGGCAGTAGGAACCAGCTGCAAAACTGGTCCTCAGGGGCAGAGAAGCCAGGTGCAAAACCTGGGGGTGCTGCGGGACTGCCATCTAGGGGTACTCACTGTAGCTGCTGCAATCATACAGTGGTTAGCTTGATAGCCATGGAAGAATCCAACTTTTATATCCTTCCATGAGGCTCTTGGGAAAGGCCACAGATCTTCATTTGGTGTAAATGCAGCTACACCAATTTACAGCATCTGAGACTCAGGCAGGGACGGCATTTATGAGCTTTTTAAAAAACAGGGTGGTAAAAACCTGTCAGTCCCATTCAAAGTATTTTCGATGTTAAAAGACTTTCTTCAATGTACACCACAGACTTTGTAACTGAAGGCAAACAAACTGATTCCATAGGGCGGAAGATTCAGAAATTGTAAGCTGTTGTACAAAAACAAATTAAAACTGCAGTGTGCACACTGCTAAATAGCAGAAGGGCTGGACTTTTTGGTTTGGCGCACTCTCACAGAAGTTACAGATGTCGTGACTCCTTGGTTTTCACATTATATAAATACTACAAGACTTACCCAGCATTGCCTGGGTCTGGCCCAGCAGGGGCCTGCGCAGCCTACCAGCTGCTCCCCAGGGCTGAGGGGGAAGGAGGGAGAGGAGAGAGGCAGGCCGATTGGCAGCCGCTCCCCAGGAGCAGTCCAGGACAGCAGGGACTGTGCAGCAGTGGCCTGGAGGCCACCGAGCTGCTGGCAACTGCTCCCTAAGGCAGGGGGGGGCCGTGCTGCTGCCCAGCAGCTGCTTCCCAGGCCTATGTTTATTTGCCTGTTTAACTGTCCCCCATGCTTGCTGCCCCCCTCTGCTCATTCATGAGTATAACTGTCCCTCTCAGCACACCTCTCCCTTTCCATTTGGTGGAAAGCAATCCCAGTCCAGCCCAGCGTCCTGGCACAGCCAATCTCTGACCTGGCTTTACCCTGTAAGAGGAAGCTGCCGACCGAATTTGGTGGTCCTAGCTCTTCCCATTTAGGTGTTCTTGAACAAGTGGACTCATGGATAGATGGACAGACAGACTCTAATATACAGTCGGTTGTCTATTGCAAAACTTATCAAGTTGCCACATTTTTTTCCTGTAATTTTCATTAGTATGTTCTAATTCATTTTTCCCAATTTAAGTGGAGTTGGAAACTGGTATTTAACCAAGGCTCTATCCTAAACTAGCTTTTCCCAAGAAATTGCCAACTCTGGAATCTGGCCCACAGCCTATATACAAGAACTACTTGCTAAGCAGTTGCAAAAAGAACATGCATTTACCTGCAATATGTACATTATAGCAAATCATAACTACATGTACTACTTCATTAAGCACATTGTGGCTTTGGATCTCTCTTTACAAGCTTGTTTAGCTAAGTCTCCAAGATAGGGAGCCTTTTATTACCCATATTTCAGACCACCACAGCTCAAAACAGCAAAGCTATGAATAGGAGCCAGACATCCTGACAAGTGAGTTCAGTACATTTTACTACCTGCTTGTTTACCAGTCAGTTACAATAAGGGAGCATGGCAGTTTGATACGGAAATCTTTCTAATACTCATGCCAAAAAAGCCAATCAGTTCTGATCTGTCAATGAATTAAAACACTATAGTAATTGTTAGTAAATCACTGACAAAAGTTGTTTGAAAAAAAATCTTGAGATTTCAAGTTTTTGTAAGAACTCATAGATATACCCCAAATGCAGTTCACCACAGGCATCTTACATTTTTAAAAACACGTCTCACATGCAACGCCCTTCTGTTCCTTTGCTGGAAAAATACCCATACTGGGTAGGCTTTGCTCCACTTGGAATGTAGGTGCCACTGAAACCTAGCCACGGAATGTCTCAACCCTACCAGACAAAGGCTCCCCTTTTTCCATTACATGACACTACCAGATGGCTTAGAAAGCAGCAACCCACTTGCAATAATGTATGTATACGGGGAGGAAAGGGAATTTTTTCCTGACACTAGCTTGTTAGCTTTTCCCCAAATATATGATTAATCAGTCTTGAGGACCAGGGAGAGGATATAGTGGCCAGGGATCCATTTCCAATGGCGTGCAGCATTTCACTTGCATCTGCTTTGGGTTTAGGTAAATGTGCTCGTGATGGGAATGCTGAAAACCTTTGGAATTTTCTTTGTGGTCTTTCAAGAAGAGGTGGGAGGCTCTTCGGAACAAACCAGTTGGATCGGCTCCATCATGTCCTCCCTCCGCTTCTCAGCAGGTCAGCAGGGGCGCTTACAGTTCAGAAAGTAGCAAAGAAAAGTACTGCTCTTTGAATTAAGTCCACTTGATCAAGTTCAGCAGTGGACATGCAATGGCCTGCCAAACTCCTAGGGTCTATACATACTGGTGCAACTGGCACATTCATTCGCACTCCTAGAGAATTAAAAAGTGAAATGGACCTGGCTAATGAACAGCCTTGCAGGGCTAGATGACAACCACTTCAATGCAGGGACAATGGCACTCAAAGGCTTTTGACTGGTCCTATCATACCTGTTCTTCCCAGGCCTCTGTCTGAAGGGCTGTGCCCAATGGCTGACTAAGGAAGTTCTTCCAGCACTTTAGGGGAGGTGGACTGGTGGTTCTAGCACAAGGAAATCTTTAGAGAGGAGGGTTTGCCTAAATACTGCCTTGACAAGTCACTGTGCTTTTCCGGGCAGGATTTGCCATGCCCGATCCGATCCCTTTAGTGCAGTATCCTTCTTCCGATACCTTGTCGGTCACAGTAAAGCCCTTTTTTCCCCCACCACTAAACACTCCACCATTTTAACTAAGCAATGCTGTCTAAAGGGAGCAGGTTAAAGAAATCCTTCCTGACTCCATCTCCAAACAAGAGATTTGATTATTCTTCTTGCCACGGGCATAGCTTGATCTCCCCTTGCAGCTCTCGTGATTCTCAGAGCAGGGTAAGATCAAGAACATTACCCTAGATGCTATATACCTGGAGCTGTTCTAGATCATCTGTTCTCCTGTAAGTCCTCCAACTGCTTTCCTCATACCTGACTTATCTTCTAGGTCCACTGGTCACTATATCCTGTGGGAAGCTTGGGGACCAGCTGACCTCCATCATTGGAGCAGGCCTAGTCTGCAGTGGTTGTCTGATTAGCACACAAGCCACTAGTATCTCCTTCCTGTGTGTGTCTATGGGACTTCTGTTGGGTGAGTGGCATCCTACAGCTCACACGCTTGGCCAAAAGGCAACCAGAGTGACTTTCCTGAATGCTTGACAAAAGCAGTAAAACAAGGGTCAGAGAACTCTTCATCCATGTGCTTGATTATCCTATTTATATTAAGGTGTCCCCTAAAGGCAAAGTGAAGGCAGTCCCTTCCCTGCAGGAATG